TTTTTTTTTTTTACAATTTCGATCGAATTAAAAGTTAAAAAATAAAAACGAGAATTTTAAGTTCAAAATTCACTTTTATTTTATTTTATTACAACACCTTCTCCAACAACATAATGATCACCCCAAGAAAAAATAAAGAAAGAGAGAGAAAAGTTTATTAGATCTTCCATCTCTTTTATTCTATTTCAATTATTTAAATTTTTACAATCATTTTAGAAAATCATGATCAACAACATTAAAATGAAAAAAAAAAAAAAAAGAATCTATTAAAATTGGGTAAAGATAATTGGGAAGATCATTAAAAGCAAATAAAAAAATGAAAAAAAAAGAATAGATTAAAATTGTTCAAAGATAATAGCAAAAGAATTAAAAGTGTGGTGAAAAAAAGAAAAATTGGCTAAAGATAATTGTTAATAGAATTAAAAGAAAAATTAGTGGAGATGTTGCTGGATTTGGTCCTGTTGGGACATGCCTTTTCGTGCCTAAACTTGAGGGAGGGCTTTGAGGAGATGTTGCTGGATTTGGTCCGGTTGGTACTAGTCTTTTGAGACCCAAAGAAAGCACATTGCCACCCTCATCCCACTTTGCCCCAAGACCATTGAGATTGGACAAAATAGCAACGGGAGAGATCAACAAGAAGGCAGAAACCATATTGACATTTTTAAGGAAGCCCATTTGGTCTTCACACAAGTATTCTAACTATGAAATCACAACTTTATATAAACTCTAGTGAACAACTAATTTAGAAATGTAGTAATAGCGGTTGGTAAATATATTTGTATGTTTAAAAAATTTACTGTCTATAATGATATTTTTTGTTGGATGAGTTTTCCTAATTTATTGGTAACCAATAATTTTTTGGAAAAACTTCTTTTTTTAGTCACCATTTGTGCTTTAGTAATCCACAAATTTAGATACTCAATTATGTAGGAGCTGGTTAATTAACACCGGTCCCATATTTTTTTAAATGGATTTAAAGGTGACTAATATTTAATAAGTTCCATGGAGAATGTGATGGTTAAAATTCTTGTATATCACAATGAATGCTTAGAAAATGCATGCTAAATAAATGTCTATTAAAACCATTTTAAATTATGCAATTTTATAAAATAAATTATTATTATTATTATTTTTATCAAATTGTTATGGTTAAATTATCAAATTTTAATCCTATTTAAATAAATGAACATACAAGACTATTTATTTGATGCTAGGTGATAACAAAATTAAGAAAACCACTCATCTATCATCAAACCTCTTAAAATGGTAAATCTACTCTGTCTAATTTTTTTTTTTATCCTCGTTTATCGCTAGTAAAGGTAATTGATATGTTTATCATCTTTTTATCTTATCAATAGACTAAAAGTGATAAATGTATCGTATTTAATTTTATTTCTATCGATAATTGTTTTCGTATTCATTTTTAAAAGACCAAAATGATACAATATAAAAGTGGTCTATTAGTTGTAACGACCCTAAAGTTCTACATACTCAGAGTTTTTACTAATGTCTCAAACTCATTTCTCATGCGGAAATATAACTCTTAAAAGAAAACGTCATCTATATTATAAATATTGAAAACATTAAAAACATTTTTTTCTCTGAAAAATACAGTCATGATCTTATGTGTTTAAATACAAAATACTAAAATTTAGAGAAAATAAAAATAAATACAAAATAATTTAAAACAATGAAATGCAAAACAACTATTTTAACCTAAAATATGCTTATGAACATACAACATGCATGTGGTCTCTCTAAATTCTATCATAATGTATTTCTTGACACAACCCTCTAAATTCTATCCATAGTTGTTAAATTATAAATGTTAATCAATGAGGTAGAAATTGAAAGTATATGTTCATGGGCAATGAAGATTTTGAAAATAAAATAAAGAAATATTATTATCATAGTTTTAGAATAAAAAACTTTTAAGACTAAATTATTCTCTTTCACGCCCATTATTAGAGTCACTCGCCATAAAGTTGAATCATCTATCTCAGTAGATAAAAGATAGAAAATTAGAGACTTCATTGTAATACATGGTAGAGAACCTAATTAAGCTTGCTACTATTAGTAGGCATCATAATAAATTTAATGGATGGCTTTCCGGAGATGTTGTTGGATTTGGGCCATTTGGAATGCGCATCTGGGTGCCTAAACCCAATTGAGGGTTTTGGGGAGATTATGCTGGATTTGGAACGGTTGGGACAACTCTCTTTGTTTCTAAACTTGAGGGAGGGCCCCTCGTGGTGCCTAAACTTGAGGGAGGGCATTCAGGAGATGTTGCTGGTTTTGGGCCATTTGGTACACAGCTCTTAGGTGCCTAAACTTGAGGGAGGACTTTTAGGAGGTTTTGGGCCATTTGGTACACACCTCTTAGATGCCTAAACTTGAGGGAGGACTTTCAGGAGATGTTGTTGATTTTGGGGCATTTGGTACACGCCTTTTGGTTCCTAAACTTGAGGAGGGCTTTTCAAGAGATGTTGCAGGTTTTGGGTCCTTAGGTACACGCCTCTACTAAGAGATGTAGTGCCTTTGGGTCATTTGGTACACGCCTCTACTAAGAGATGTAATGCCTAGAGGCAATGTAGGTGTTACAGGAGATGTTGTTGAATTTGGTCCTTTTGGGACACTTCTCTTGGTGCCTAAATTTGGGGAGGGCTTTCAGGAGAAGTTGCTGGATTAGGTCCAGTTGGGACACGCCTCTTAGCTCCTAGACCCAATGGAGGTGTTTCGGAAGTTGTTGCTGGATTAGGTCCAATTGGGACACGCCTCTTGGTGCCTAAACTTGAGGGAGGGCTTTTAGGAGAAGTTGCTGGATTTGGGCCAGTTGGCACAGGTCTTAGTGCCTAGACAACTGGCCCAGGCCTCTTAGTGCCTAGACCCAATGGAGGCGTTTCAGGAGGTGTAGCTGGATTTGGGCCAGTTGGCACAGGTCTCTTAGTTCCCTGTGCCTAGACCCAATGAAGGTGTTGCTGGATTTGGGCCAATTGGCACACGTCTCTTAGTGCCTAGACCCAATGGAGGCGTTTAAAGAGATGTTGTTGGATTAGTCTATTTGGGACATGCCTTTTAAGTCCTTAGAAAGCACATTGCAACTCCACTTGCCTCAAGATCATTAAAAGCAAAGAAAAAAATGAAAAAAAAAAAGAATAATAGATTAAAATTGTTCAAAAATAATTGCAAAAGAATTAAAAGTGAGGTGAATAAAGAAAAAAAAAAGTCTTTTATTGCTCGATTACAATTGGATAAAAATAATTATTAATAGAATTAAAAGAAAAATTATTGACAATTTTTTATGTATACTGCCAAACACAACCTGCTTATGGGACAAGAATTATAGAGAATAAAGGATGGAAAAATAATTAAATTTTGAAATATGGGATGACTAGGAAGCAGATAATACTTCAACATAAAATAAATTTATCAATTTCTTTTATAGACCGTAGCTTATATCTAAAAATAAATTCATCAAATTCTTTTATATAACCGTAGCTTATATCTTCTAGAAAAATGGTTAACTCTGTCTGTAAACTTGTTACATGAAAGTTCGAACTTGAAACTGACGTCATGAGCATACATAGATTAACTTGGATTTCAAAAGACAGAATCAAACGTTCATTAAAGATTAAATTCATGACAACAACTTAAGCTAATAAGATAAGTGGTCTTAATATGGGCTAGATCGGAAGACTTGTGGAGAGGAGTGTGGGGGAAATGTGAAATGATTGGAAGAGATAGTTTGGAAAATGGACAAGACATTAGTGGAGAGATGAACAAAAGGACATAAACCATATTGACATTTTTATGCAAATCCATTTTGTCGTCACACACATATTCTACCATTAAATCTCACCTCTATATAAACCCTAGTGAACAACTAATTTAGAAATACAGTAATAAATGATATTTTTTTGGTTGAGTTTTCCTAATTTATTGGTAACAATGATTTATAGAAACTAATTATGCTCCATAAAAAAAATATCTAACCATTTCAATCTCTTTTATTTTAAAAATTCATCTAATTTTAATTTTAATTCTAAAATACAAATATTTCATTTAACTTAAAATTAGTTACACGGAAACTTCATCAAACTCTCCATCGTTACCGTTCCTTACCATTCCTTCCCCAAATATCTCTTCCCATTACTAAATTATATTGAAATTAGTAAAAGTTAAATGTATGTACGAAACTTTTATGAAAATTTAAAGGTACTTTTTTTAAAACAAAATATTAATAATTTCCATCCCTAGCTAATTATAAGACTATTTTTTAATTGTTTTTTTTTAATTTAACTGCAATTTTTAACTCTAAGAAAAGTTTAATTGTATTATTGAAACTTTAGAGTATTTTTTTTAATTTAAATTTTTTTGTTTTTTTTTACTATTTTTTTAAAAGACAAATTTAGTATTCACTATTTTGAAAATGTGCCTTATTCTTATAAATTTTTTGAGATTTGCAGTGATCTTCATAATCACCAAAAATATAAAAAAAATAAAAAAGAAAGAACAAAAAAATGATTTTTTTAAGGTTCTCTCTGCTATTCATTTTTCCACATTTCTCTCCCATTTCTTGCCATTGCTGACTCATCGCCCGACCTCAAGTATTCTCGTGGATCTCTATCTGCCTTCCTCTTCACTTCTCCGCCCCCTCCAGCGGCGTTCCTCTTCACCTCTCCGCCACCACCTACGCGAAGCTTCTTTAAATCTCCACCACCGGCAACATTTCTCTTCCCCTCTCCGCCACCTCCTACGCAAAGCTTCTTTAAATCTCCACCTCCGGCGTCGTTTCTCTTCCCCTCTCCGCCACCCCCGGCGGCATTTCTCTTTCCCTCTCCGCCACCACCTGTGCGAAGCTTCTTTAAATCTCCACCCCCGGCAGCATTTCTCTTCCCCTCTCCGCCACCTC